GCATTGCTGTAATTGAGATTCTTGGATCTGAGTAGAGATTGGGGCTTCATGTCTGTGTACTTGGTATGTAGTGGCACTCAGTACTTTTAGCAAGTGAAGGGATGATCTGTGCTTGAAATATGACAACATTTCATTTTGATTCCTAAAGTCTTTCCAGTAAAGGGGATTATTTTTAAAAGATCTGTGTAGCCATTTTAATAAATGGCTTATGCTGAGGATCTCAGCCTTGTTCTTCTATTTTTCCTCATTTCTTCTCTCACTAGTGCTACCATCAGTTTTTCTGTAGAGTTGAATAATTGGACTTCTTAGCGTTTAAGAGATTTTTGGCTTTTTACTGCCTTCATACAAAAAAAAAAGCTGTGAAACTGTATTTTAACTTGAGTGCTTTCTGTCTTTTTACAGGATGATGCAAATAAAAATGGTGGCAAGTGGATTATTCGGCTGCGGAAGGGCTTGGCCTCCCGTTGCTGGGAGAATCTCATTTTGGCCATGTTGGGGGAACAGTTCATGGTTGGGGAGGAGATCTGTGGGGCTGTGGTGTCTGTCCGCTTTCAGGTAAGGCACCCATGGGTCAGGCTGGTTTCTTGTGTCGCCTTTGTTCTCCTTGCTGCCTCTGGTTTTCTTTGATGATTCCTTCTGTTCCTCTGGTAGGAGGACATTATTTCAATATGGAATAAGACTGCCAGCGACCAAGCAACCACAGCCCGAATCCGGGACACGCTTCGGCGAGTGCTTAACCTACCTCCCAACACCATTATGGAGTACAAAACTCACACCGACAGCATCAAGTACGTGTTGGGGGCTGTGGGAGGATGTGTCCCTAAGCTTAGCAGAAGTAGAGCTATAGTTGGGCCCAGAGGAATATGGCCGGACAGGAGACTTACTTGTGGAGAAAGGATAGACGAGGCCTTCCCTCTAGGGCTTCTGGCTACTTGCTGCAGTTCTTTGTCAGCGAGGCTCCTTGCCACCTTTACTACGAGGTGCTTTGTAGCAGAGAGAGCCCTGCAGAAACCCAGTTACACTGCCTGGGCTTGCTTAATTTCTACAGGCTGTCTTGTCTTTCATACGCTAACCACTGTCTTAAAATGAAAGACAAGTGCTTTTCTTTTTCTTGCTGTTAAGATAATTTCACTCTGCCCACCCTCACCCCACTTCTGCATGTCTTTTTAACCTGTTAGCTTCAGTCTGTTTTCTTTGTCCTGGGATATTGTCTACCTATCAGGAATGACTCCATTTCCTTGTGAATAGAGCTGACTTATAGAAGAAGGGGGATAGTGTGTGTGTGAGAGAGCAGAACCAAAGAGAAGCATGAAGGCCACAGGGAAAAGAAGCTTTGCAATCTCCCTAGGACTCAGGGAAGTAGAGCTGTCTGTCTACAGTCAGAATCACTGTTAGGCTTGCACCTTCAGTGATTGAGTGTCAGAAGTGAGCTCAGGTTCTTGTGAAAAAGTTGTGGGGAGTGGCTGTCAGATTGTCTGAAAACTGGAGGGAGAGCTAGTCAGCTAAGAGGACCCTTAGGTTTAGTTTTCTCCTACAGCCCCGTACCAGTAGGTGCCTTTGACAAGTGTCTTTGCAACTTTGCTTCAGTTTCTCCATCTGTAAAGTGGGAGACAGTACTTTATCTAACAAGGCTATTGTGAGGCTGATTTAATCTTTAACTGAGGGTCCTGAGATGGAGAATGCTCTTACAGGGCCAAGTAGTAGTATTGCCATCATCCTCATCATCATTAGTAAGAATGTCATCATGTCGTTATTATTGAAGACTAGTAGTGAGCCCAGTGATTGTGTTCAGCAGACAGACCATTTGGGAATCTCTTTACCATGCATCTACAGATAGTGTGATGAGTGGAGTCGGCTTAAACCAGCCAAGTGCCAGGTTGTAAGTGGGAACCCTGCTATGGGAGTTGGTCCATGATCAAACAGCTGGTGATGACTCATCATAGTCACCAACAGTTATGAATCAGCCATGGCCCTGGTTGCTTGCCTTAGCAGTCCTATGTTAGCATTGTTTTTCTCTAGGCACATTTTTCTTATTCTCTGTTCTGGGATAGAAGTAGCTTCTGGCCTCTAGCCAGGTTCAGTCCAGGCTGGAGATATCTATACCTTTTTCTAGGATTCTTGTTTTCAAGGTTTCTAAATATTCCCCACTCCCACTCACCCCCAAAATAAGCTGTTCACCTGGATAGGAGAGGGAAAGAGGTATTTTTCATCAATTCTCCCCTTCTCTGCTGTTCTCCCTTTCTAATACCATAAGACAGTTCTTCATGACTTTTGTAGAAACATGTGTACACGTCCTTATAGAGTTTAGGAGAGCCTGTGGGCTTTTTGCCTGAGTCTGCTAGAAAGACTGGCCTGCTGCTCTCTGCTTTATCCAGCTGCCTCTGGGACTTCAGCCCTGTAGCTGTAGAGACCAGAAAACCAACCCTCTTTGAGACCCAGATGCTACTTTCCCTTACATCCCCCTCTCTTTCCTCTCCCAATGAGCCAACCTTTTGCACTTCCACTAGAATGCCAGGCAGGCTGGGCCCCCAAAGGCTCCTTTTTCAAAACCTCTGGAAGCCGCGGTTGAATGTGCCATGACCCTCTCCCTCTCTGGATGGCACCATCATTGAAGCTGGCGTCATCGGAGTCTCTTGTTCTGTTGGCGTGCTACCTGGAAGATCCTTCTGTCCTGGACAAGAGGAATTGGAAGAGCATTTTATGTTTTAAGAACAGGCTGACACGCAGCAGCTACAACAACAGCTGAGATCACTTAATAAATGGTGCTAAACTAGCTTGTCTCATGCTCTTGCTCTTTATGGTGCATCAAAGATGTGGCCTTTCGGACTCACTGTCACCATATTAAGGGATGGCACAGACTTTTCCATGGAGGGCCATTGGGGAATGCAGCCTCATTTCCATAAGCCCATTGTGTAGTGTCATGTGATATTTTGTTCCAGGACTGCTGAGGCCTGACATAATAAGGTGACATCTAGCTTTCAAAATAAGACCCCATTTTCTGGTACTTAAACGTGAGTTCCCATCTAGTCACGCCGATGACCAGAACAGAGTGATTTCTGACTTAGAATTCAGCTTGAAAGTCTGTTCAGGTTGGAAAGGGGGATCCTTGGCCTTTGCTTCGCTGACTTCCATTCGCCTTTACTTCAAAGAAATCTCTTACTTGGAGGTAAATCCCTGCTTCTGTCTGTGTGGCTGTGTGTATATAGCTTCCTTGCTTTGTGCTAATGGGGTTCTCTCGCTGGTGCCAAAGCTGCCCAAGCCACAGCTCTTTTCCAGCCTTCTCCCTTCTGCTTTCCCTTTAGAGCCAGGTCATCTTTCTCTTTGAGTTAGCTCTGCTTGCAAGATCTCAGGGTTACAGCCCTTCCGTTTCTCCTGGGCCCGGTGTTACTGTGCATCAGGATCTGGGGTAGGGCAATGTCTTCATCCCGTGTGAGTTTGCTCTGTAGGATATCTGACCGTAGCACATATGGACCCCTTGTTTGCTTTGTGGCTTTAGCTTGTATGTGCTGCAGCTTGGCCTTTAGGCCCCTAACCTGCATGTAGAGTTTCAGCAAGCCTTATGCTACTTTAGGTTTTCTTAGGAGCTACCACCAAAAACAAAAATAAACAATCTTTTTTTTTTTTTTTTTTTGCAAACACTGGGTCAGGCTGCCTGAGAGGATCTGTGAAAGTGGCTGTGGATTTAAGGTTGAGTTTTCCAGTGTGGCTGTTCCACTCTGGCAGTGATACCCTGTGCTTGTACCATCCTGACAACCCCTGATCTCCATGTGGCCCAGGATCCTGCATCACACCTATTAGGATTAGCACCGTGGTCTCAGCATTCTAGGGGTGTTTGTGTCATTTCATCTTTGTTTAGTACATATCCAAAATTGGTTGAAGTACCTATAAAATGAGAGATTTGCTGGAATATGGAAAGGCCCATTCTCTACGTTTTAGTATTTGTCAAAGAATTACCCTGTCTGGTCCTTTCCCTTATGCCTTCAAAAATCATGTTACGTGCATTGACCTTCATTTCAGCTGTACTGTAACTGCTCCAGGGGATAGACTTGATGTCACCTCCCAGAGTAAGAATCGATTAAAAAGCACCAAACTGCAAACTGACCTCGAGACCCTTCGACCCTTGCCAGTGTGAACAAAAGTCAGAACTAGTTCTGCTTTGTCTATTCTGTCTTTGAGCCAAAGACAGCAGCTACTGAGTCTTATGAATTCCAAGGAGGCCAGGTGAAGTGGCTCACGCCTGTAATCCTAGCACTTTGGGAGGCCGAGATGGGTGGATAACCTGAGGTTAGGAATTCGAGACCAGCCTGGCCAACATGGAGCAACCCCATCTCTACTAAAAATAGAAAAAAGTAGCCGGGTGTAGTGGCAGGGCACCTATAATCCTAGCTACTCAGGAGGCTGAAGCAGGAGAATCGCTTGAACCTGAGAATGTCATGGTGAGCCGAGATTGTGCCACTGCACTCCAGCCTAGGCAACAAGAGTGAAGCTCTATCTTAAAAAAAAAAAAAAAAAAAAGAATTCCAAGGAAAATGAAGGAAGAAAGAGCCAACATTTATTCGCATCCAAGTACTCTGGAAATAGGGCTGCTGGTGGTGAGGGGAGTTTTTTTAGGAGTGGCTTAGATTTTTCAGTCAGGTGTTCCTGATTCCTGTTTGCTATTTTTGGCCCAGTTTCCAAGGTTCTTCAACCATTGGGTTTTTCCAGCCTTTCCCCAGTCACACTACTTGTGGCCTTTTCCTGCTGCACCCCTCAGTGAGCTACAAGGCACTGCAGGCCGCACAGAGCTGGTGATGAGCTGCTGTGCTGCAGAGGGCTCCTGCTCTTGTTTATTGCTAACAGTTCACCCCTAAGACATGGACAACTTGTTAAACTGAGTTTTTGCTCAGGTCATGGCTCCTTTTAGTGAGGTCAGCTTGTAGTCGAGTTTTCATAGATATGAGTTCCCCATATTCTCTGCTTTGAGGAGAAATCTCATAATACAGCCAGAATCATGGGGCCACCAGGATCAAACTGGGCTCGGAGCCATGTGAAACAGCACTGTCTTTTGTGAAGAAACTCCTCTTTGGATTAGTCCCACTGATTCCTTTTGTGCATCTAGCCTGGAATGGAAAAGGAAAACAGGCCAGCTTCCCATAGAGGGCTCCAGCAGTGGGAAAGACTGGCCCGGCTTTTCTGCAGAGGGAGTGGAAGATGGGTGGTTCCTCTTTATTCCTTTATCTTAGAGGAGAGACAGGTCAAATTGTGGGGACTTCCCCACATCTGGATATCATTGCGTTTCAACACTGAAGTTTAATATATAGGCAAGGACCAACCCATCCCTTCTGGCATGGCTAAATCATAGTCCAGTAGCACCAGGTTAGCCCAGCATAATTGCTGGCCTGGCTTTGCATCTGTAATACGTACCACCAAACTGGTAGTCAAAGCAAAGAGCCTAGATTAGCAGGAAGCTGAGCCCTTCCCTAAGTATTGAGAGCTAGTGAGTGCAAGGCTACGAACCTTGCAGGCTTTGGACAGAGGTAGGGGAGAATTTGCTTTCCGGTACGTGAGATGGGACAAGAGTCATCTTAAAAGAGCTCTTTGTTCCTCTGTCATTTGGATCTCTTCAGAATTCCCTGTTGGCTCTATTAATCTCAGTAATTTTTTCTGTTTTTAGAAACTCCAGTCATATGACACTTTTTACCTTTAACTTGTTCTTTGTTTACCTTTCAAAGAAGAAAGTTTTAGTATTACCTAATATGCCTGGAATGCCAGATGGAAAATAGCTATTCACACCTAGTTTTAGGTGGTAGATTTGCCTCTTGGCTGAGCTGTTGGCCTATGAGAATAAGAGGGATTACATCAAAGATTATGGCCCACTATTTTATTTCCACCAAATCCATGTGAAGATATTTCTTTCTTTTTTTTTTTCTGAGACAGAGTTTCACTCTTGTCACCCAGGCTGGAGTGCAATGGCACCATCTTGGCTCATTGCAACCTCTGCCTCCTGGGTTCAAGCAATTCTCCTGCCTCAGCCTCCCGAATAGCTGGGATTACAGGTGTTTGCCACCATGCTCAGCTAATTTTTTGTATTTTTAGTAGAGACAGGGTGTCACCATGTTGGCCAGGCTAGTCTCTCAACTCCTGACCCCAGGTGATCCATCCACCTTGGCCTCCCAAAGTATAGGATTATGGCATGAGCCGCCACCACGCAGCTGTGAGGAAATTTCTTAACCCAGATTCTTCATGTTGAGGTTTAACATATAGTGAAGATACTAAAGAAGAAACTGGGAGGGAAATGTAATACTGGAATTCCGGAGTAGAAGGGAGCCGTGAAGTCTGTATTTCTTCAGGTTCTTGATAGAGAGAACCATTCTATATAGGCTAGTGTAAGGATGGCCCTTCCTGGAAACAAAAGGATAAATGACATGAAGCTTCAACACAGCCATGTAATTTCTTGTTGACACCTAAGTGGCTTAAAAAGGAATTTAAATCTCAACGTTACAGTGAGGGGTTTCCCTGGGTCATTGCCGAAGCACTGGATTTTGCTTTGCCCTTGTCTTCATTTGGAGTAAAGCATGAGATTGCCTTCTGATGTCACTCAGGGATTCACAAAGTGCATCACATCACCATCTTTCCAGAGAGCTCTGAAACAGCTGTCAGGTGTCTTGCTGTGGACACTGAGTTTGAGAATTGACAAAGACTGGCACGCTTTTTGGCAGTCTTAGATTTTTCCTTAGTTTAGTTAGCACATACACTAGAAGCTCTGATAATAATTCTCTGAAGAAACCATGAACTGCAGTTCTACCTCCTGTAAGAAGTAGATGATTATAAATGTAGTGGATTGTCATACTGGGTACTGTGTCACCAAATTAAACCAAGGATGGAATTAATAATAATTAGGAACTTCAGACTTGGAAGCACCATATTTTATGTATAATTCCCAAGGAACTCATCAGATTTTGGGGCTGAAAAGTGGCTAGGGCTTAGGAAATCACCTCTCCTGAGAGCACTTGAGTTGGGTTAGAGCCTCCAGAAGCATAGGGGGTCTAGTTTTCTCCTGTGACTAGTCCGGCAGTCACCCAAGGCCTTTTCTCTGGAGCACCTTTCTGAGAGGCCACGTACCCCTTCTGTCACATTTCTTAACTTAACCCTTCCTAACCCTAATTTCTGAATTAAGCTAATAAGCATGAAAGTTGTAATGGCATTGTTCCCTGGAAATTTTGAACTGCCGTGACTTTAAATTTTCAGATAGTAGTTGCATAGGTACTTAAGAAGCAGGTAGAACTGACGCATTTAAGGTTTGAGCTTAGAAGGGTTAGAAGGTTGGCAATATGAAAGCAGAGAATGTGTATACTTCCCCTTTGCATCTTTAGACATCATAATGTTGTTGGGAACTGGCCTTTACCCTCAGAGTGAGGCCTAATGAAGCAAAATGGTTTCTACCACCTGTGCCCACATACGCAAGGCAGAAAGGACAGTGTAAACTGGAAGTGTTTACGGTGACAGTTGAGCTTCAGCTCTGACCTCATCAGCCTCCCCTGGAACCTTGTTGGAACACTGGGTGCAAATCCTTGAGGGCACAGGGGCAGACTTCCCAAGTGATGCAAGCAGAAGTGCCCACTGGCCCTGAAGGGCAGGCTGCCCTGCTCCTCGGAAAGTCCAGTTGGGACCTCGCTGCTTTGCTCCCAGGTACCTGTGGCTCCACTTGGCCTGGAGGGCATCTGAAGGGGGATGTGGGGTTATTGTGTCTGCTCTCTGTGTTCAAAAGCTTTTGATCTGAATGTGCTGTTGTGTTTTTGTCTCTGGTTTGCCAGGGCCTGGGAGGAGTTTCATGGCCTGGTGAACAGCAGCGGCCGCTGATCGGACGCTACCCCTCTGTCTCTCACACTCAGGGTAGGGCCTTGTCTATCTTCTCTGTAACCCTGTGACATACCTCTCATCCATAGGACCCTTCTTCCCAAGGGGATGCCCTCTTCCCATTTACCCCCAAACTTGCCTCTGCCACCATAGAGCCTCAGAGAAGAATGTGAGTCCCAAACCGCTGGATTCTTGTTCTCCCTGGGTCCCATGTCTCCTGGTGAACCCCTGAGCAGGCCACTTCACCTCCTTATGCCCCTACTTTCTCTTCTGGAAAATGAGGCTCCATGGATGAACAAGTCTCTGAGCTCTCTTTTGATGCTAACATTTCATGATGGTAAAAATCTGCCGCAGATGGGTTTTCTTTTGCTCAAATGTGGCCATTTTTAAGCCATCTGGCAATGTCCTGTGACTAAAAGGGCAGTTCCACAGGCCCCAACATGAGTTACATGAGAGGTATGTCTCCTGTTTGCTGGTGTCATTTGTCAGTTGTGAGGAAACAGTAAAATAAATTCAGGGTTTCAGCAGTGTCAGTAGCAGGGGCTGGATTTCAGGGCTGTGTAAGTGACAATTCCAAGCTGTTCTTTCACTAGAGCAGCACAAGTGTACTGGCAGGGAGAGGCACAGAGATTCAAAGGCTGGGACAACTAAAGCATTGACTTTGGGAATATTTGTATTTCGGTCAGGAGAGTATCAAGTCCATGTTTGTCTTTGTAGCAGAGGGAGCTGGGTAAATCTATTCTGAATGAGAAGAATGGATGCAAGGCCAGTATCTGCGTGTGCTGGAGATGAGAGCCTTTTCCTGGACATGAAACTACCCCTGCCACTACCATCCCTAAGAAACTGAGTATTTCTGAAATTGGAACAGAGCATGTTAACTGCAGTAGCTACCGCAAAATTCCCCCTTCCCAAGAAGGAGTTGAGGGTTTTCCAGAAAGGAGACCTGCATCCCTCACATGGGCTAGAAGAGACAAGATGACACTGAGGGACAGCAGCAGGTGGCCAGGGGCCTGAGAGCTCTGGGCTGTGGATATGATATACAGATAAAACACAGTTGCAGAGGTCCTGCACACACAAGTGATGCCACCCATACCTTTTTGTTCTGATAGTTTGATTTCTTTATTATAAATTCAGTCTTCTGGTGGTTTAAAATTTAAAAGGCTTGTCTTTAAAATATAGTCACCATTAGTGTCTGGTATCATGGCACATGCCTATTGTCTCAGCTACTTGGAGACAGAGGTGGGAGGATCACTTGAGCGCAGGAGTTCAAGGCCAGCCTGGGCAACGTAGTGAGGCCCTGCTTCTAAATATATATGTGTATGTGTGTGTGCATATATATAAGTGTCTGTATATATAGGTATATATAATCAACATAGAATTCCAGGAGGGCTGCCAGTATACGCAAGGAGGGAGGAACAAGGTACGAGCTCTAATAGTAGATAAATCATTGATTTGTAGGCTAAAAAATTATCAATATTTGAAATAAGATATTAAATTTTCAGAAGCCTGGTGCTATGATGGAGTTGTTTTCAAAAAATACTACCATATTTAATTATTTCTAAGATTTTTTTGGCTTTTAATAATATTATTTTTTCAACCCTGTTCCTTCTCTAAGGCTTTGAATATTCTTTTTTTTTTTCTTTTATTTATTTATTTATTTTTTAATAAAGATGGGGTTTCACCATGTTGGTCAGGCTAGTCTTGAACTCCCAACCTCAGGTGATTCGCCCACCTTGGCCTCCAAAGTGCTTGGATTACAGGCATGAGCCACCGCACCCCGCCTGAATATTCTTAAAATTGGGATGCTGGCCGGGCACCGTGGCTCACGCCTGTAATACCAGCGCTTTGGGAGGCTGAGGTGGGCGGATTACGGGTCAAGAGATCGAGATCATCCTGGCCAATGTGGTAAAACCCCATCTCTACTAAAAATACAAAAATTAGCTGGATGTGATGGTAGGTGCCTGTAGTCCCAGCTATCCAGGACACAGAGGCTGTGGTGAGCCAAGATTGTGCCACTGCACTCCAACCTGGCAACAGAATAAGACTCTGTCCCCGCTCCCCACCCCGAAAAATAGGTTGCTTACAGTGAATGTGATTTAAAAGGGTTTTGTTATAGTCTAATGGGCATTGTTTACTTCTTAAAATACATAAAATGATGTACATTTAAAAATTGATGGCATCTGAGTTTCAATGAAAAAAAAGTTTTTAAAATGAAAGTGGAATGGTCAGAATGGAAGAAAACTTAAAATGGCTTCCTCCCCTCTTGGCAGACACTAATCCCCCAGGAAAAATATCTCTGAATTGCTGTAAAAAGCCATATATTTGCATAATTGCCATTTTGTGGTCTCTTTGTGGCCCCTCATATCTTTTTCATACAGTGTGGGAGGCAGATGAAGAGAACACCCATGGTTTAGGTATTTTCCTTAAAGCACAGGCTAGGAAGTCCATGAGGAGTGTTTGAATTTAAACCAAAATTCTGAAAATAGGGGAAAAAATGAATTTTTAAAAATCCAGTCACTTCATTGTCTTAATAGACTTGAAAAGGACTTCACGTTCCATCTTTTGATTTAACCTCACTATAAGTGAAAGGGATGTTCCGAGAAGATCTGCATGCCTAGCTTATGTTTGTTGGGTCTGCCATTTTAAAGGCCCCTTAACATTTTAGCCCTCTTTCCCTCTCTCCCTTTTCTTTTTCTTCCAAATAGATCATGATCTCTAAAGAAATTTGGTAGAAAAACTGCTATTTAAATAATTCTTCATGAATCTTAAATGCTTTTCCTGAATTTATCTGCTATTTTATGTAATTACATATGATTGCTAGTATTTTAGGACAATTTCATTTGACTTCTGTTGCAAATAAGTATTACTCTTTTAACTGTGACTTCAGTAAAAGTCTCAGTGAGGCCGGGCGCGGTGGCTCAAGCCTGTAATCCCAGCACTGTGGGAGGCCGAGGCGGGTGGATCACGAGGTCAAGAGATCGAGACCATCCTGGTCAACATGGTGAAACCCCCGTCTCTACTAAAAAATACAAAAAATTAGCTGGGCATGGTGGCGCATGCCTGTAATCCCAGAGACTCAGGAGGCTGGGGCAGGAGAATTGCCTGAACCCAGGAGACGGAGGTTGCGGTGAGCCGAGATCGCGCCATTGCACTCCAGCCTGGGTAACAAGAGCGAAACTCTGTCTCAAAAAAAAAAAAAAAAAAAGTCTCAGTGAGCTGCTCGGAAAGGATTCTGATTACTTAGCCGTCTGGGCTGCTATACACAGAACAGTGAATCTATATTATTGGGAAATGAAATTGGAATAAAATAAAGTTGAAGAGGAGAGACTGGAATTTGCCTTACTGAAACTTAGAAAGAGTTTGCAGCATTACCGAATATGCAGGGAGACAAGAGGAAGCCAGAACTGGCCTGGGGTGGACAGTTGATAGCCAAAGAATGTTCTACGGAAGACCATATGCACTTACGGAAGACATACGCCACCCCCTCAGAGCCACTCTTCAGAGCAGAGACATAGGTAGCGTTCCTCCTCGGATGACTCTCAGCTTTCACTTGAGAACCCAGAGTCACTCAGGTGCCCTCGCCAGGCACCAGCACAGTGGCAGGTAACTCCAAGAGAGGGGAGGCATTCTGAGTGACCGCTTTGCCCCTCTGTTGTCCATTTTCAGGAATTAATCTCTGTCTTAGCTCATTATTTCCAGAGTTGGAACTTGTCCATTTCTCAAAAGTACTAAAAGGTGACCATTTTGAGGTAGAGCAGATTAGCAAGCTGTTTCCGAGTATTTGGACAGCGATTTTCCCCACGATACCTAGGTATGTGAAGTTGGAAGCCATTCTGAATGGGGCTCTTGGATATTTCTGAGACATCATCAGGACAAAGGAATACACAGTAGAGAAAGAATTCTTTGATTTCTTCCAGCATTGTGGGATTGTCAGCTTCTGTGTCCTCTTTGGCATCCTAAGCATAGCCCATGCTCTATCACAGCTTCGCCAGATTGCTAGAGGGCTAGCTTTCAGGAGCTCACTATGGATTTGCTCAATTTTAGTTTGCTTTTAAAAGAACAGAAGCACATTGTTTTTTAAAGGGTCACCTGTGGCCTCTGCCCCTTCCTGTCTACATTCTCCCTTTCCCTGCCTCCTAATCTCTCTGTGCACTGAGCCCAGGGTGAGGGGTGTGATGGAGTATCACTTCCCAGCTGGCCTGAGGTGAACACATTCCTCAGACTAAATTTGGCATCAGGCTGCTCTCAACCCACTTTTTTAAAGGCTGGACCAAAGCCATAGGGCCTCACTGCCACCAGCCTGTGTTAGCCTGTCACTGTCAGGAGCAGGCCACCCCTACTTGCTGTTTTGTTTTCCTCCTAAATCAAACTGGAAAAACTTAGCTGGATTCTCCTGCCTTTTCCTTTACTTTTCTCCCCCTTTTCACTTTGCAAATGGACCTCAGAATTATATGACTTCTTAGGTTTTCTGACTATAAAGTGGTCTATAATAACAAAAATACTAAATATCTGAATGAGAAAGTGTATTTAGAGCTCTCCAGTTTATCTGCTACAGAGTAAGAATTTATTTCTGGCCCACCTAACACAGTAGAGGAATTCCAGAAGATAAGATGGCCTGCATTTGGTAATGATTACCCTGAAAAATCCTCTTTCCATCACTAAACAGCTGAAAGAGTTGAAGCCAGACACTTGGCTGCCATCTCCATCACTCCAACATGGAGAGTTCTCCAAGTCAGCACATCTCTGCTCCTGCCTTCCCATAGCCCTGCCTTTCTAGTCTCTCTTTTATTTTTTATTTTTTTAAAGATGGGGTTTCACCATGTTGGCCAGACTGGTCTCAAACTCCTGACCTCAGGTGATCCGCCCACCTTGGCCTCCCAGACTGCTAGGATTACAGGAGTGAGCCACCACATTCAGCCTCTCATCCGTCTTTGAAGAAGAAGAGTGGAATCCCTACTGATAGACTTCTGGTGTCCAGTGATTAGATGGGCATAGGGGTGCCAGTAAAAAGGAAGAAATGGAATGGAGCCATCTGCTCTGGTGTAATCACTTTAGTATTAAGTGTAGCTATAAAAAAGTGTCTTTTGTAATGCATTCTCTGTAACACAGTACATTGTCCCCAAGAGAATTCAGAAATCAAACACACACACACATCAGTTATGCTTGCTTTTCTCTGTGTTATGGTCAGATATGTTCCTTATCCTTTGCTAGCTACTTGTGGCATCTTAGAGGGGTCTGTCCTTTTGAAAGGAGTTTTTTAGCTGGGTGCTGGCTCACACCTGTAATCCCAGCTCTTAGCGAGGCAGAGGCGGGAGGATAGCTTGAGACCAGGAGTTCGAGACCTGCCTGGGCAATATAGTGAGACCCCATTCTCCACAAAAAGGAAAAAACAAAAAGACAAAAGAATAATAACAATAAGTGTGAAAGGAGTTTTTAAAAAAATATCATTGGCCTTTTAAAAAGATGACCATCCTATTAACTTTATTTTCAACTTTCAGGTCTTTAGTTGAAAATAGTTGAAGTGCTAAGTAGCCATTGATAAATGAACCACATGGTCATGCATGTCAGCTATAAAATACCAGTGGACTTTTGAGATAGGATCAGTTTCTTCCCAGCCCAAATTTGCTTATACCAGCTCCAGTTTCCCATCTCAGTTCTTGTCTGGAGTCATCCTCTTTGTGTAGTGGGGGTCATTGGTCACTGTCAGCTGACCGTCATCATGGAGAAAGATTTGTTAGCCAGTAACAGAAAGAAACTGCTGTTTGGCTGGGCTGAGCATATTCTTTCCTTAGTACATATTTACTCTGAACCAATTACCATATATCCCGTTAATTATAACAATTTTAAGATAGGTCAGGCTGGGCTTGTAATCCCAGCACTTTGGGAGACCATGGCAGGAGGGTCACTTGTGCCCAAGAGTTCAAGACCAACCTGGGCAACATAGTGAGATACTATCTTAAAAAAAAAAAAAA